AGGCTACAGTACGTGAGAGAATCCCACCTAGTGAATATTACCACATAAGCAAATTATACAACTATTTTAGTAAGGGTTGTAACTCAATTTCCATCTATATTTGGAATGCACAGATCACCACATATGCTAATTGAGCTTTTGCCAAACGAAGCAGTCAAGAGGCTTCACGCCATAAACATAGAACAGAGAGTTATAAAACTTATTACTAGGTGTAGGCATCAATCTTGGAGACACTTCTACCGTCACTTTAATATTTAAAGAATTAAAATAAACTTAAAGATATTAGAAAAAGGTTTTGTCTAAAAAGGTGAAACACCCTTAGACACTCCTAGAAATTCTAAAATACATAGTAAAGTTCAAAAATCTATCATACAAGCTTGAGTAGAGACTTGTATTAACTATAACTGCCCATTGGTGAAGAGGATAGAGAGAAATTTGCTTTAAAAAATATTTTTTGTCTAAATCTTAAATAAAGTCTTCCATAAATTAGCTATCACATATTTGGAAAACTACCTAACATCATTTTATAAGTAAATTGATTTAAAATAGGCTATTATGCACTAGATAATTTGATTTTTATATTGATTTCACAGGGCAATTTCATAGAATAGTCTCTACGCCCTATTCAAATTAGTCCATAGTGTTGATTTAGTTTGCTTAAAATTTGCCAAAAGCAATAGACCACTCTTTTTAATTCCATAGTTCTAAGGGCAAGGTTAGTTATAAGTTAGAGGGTAATACTTACTGTGTGTAAACAACCAAAGAGAACGATATAAAAGACAATCCATAGAGGTTCAAATATAAAAGGAAAAGGCCTATGAACAAGAGTGCACCCTCTTTCCCTTTAGAGTTAAGCATTCTTAGGTTTTGGGTTGGGTGACTTCTCGAGAAGTCCAAACTCAAAAGTTTACATTTGGTATCAGAGAGGTTTTGGGTCCAACTCTATTGGTTGGCTAAAGGAATTACACCACATGTTGATTGACACTTAGCTAGTCTAATTTGCTCCCGCTGGGCTCGACTCA